TTTGAAATACGGACGCTAATAACTTATTATACACTCGCGTTCATAAAATCTTGAACCTTAAAAACCACCGATATTTCGTTTTTAACGAGCTTTATCGTAAATAATAATAACTTGGCGCTTTCCTTTGCAACGAAGAATTGCAATAGTGTCTATTTCGCGGAAAACTGCCAATTCCCAAAATGAACCTGTACCTGATGCTCGTTTTAAATGTCTCATTTGTGCTTTGATTTTCTGTTCAAACGCAACGAAGAAACGTTTATTATTGTCACCATTAGTGTTTATTATTGTTTATTTTTTGCCAAAAATGCCTTTGACTGTTAAAAACGGCACGAATTGTTGCGCTTGTGGAAGACGGTCATACTCAACGGCAAGTCGCAAGAACTGTTGGCGTAAACCTTTCTACGGTTCAACTAGTGCTTCAACGCTTTCAGGAGACGGGTTGCTAACCAGACGAAGCTTCGTCCTGGCTCTGGACGAAGAAGAACGACCACTGCACGAGATGACAGTTTCCTTGTGTTTGTCCACAGGACGTCAAATGCGGTTATGCATCGAAATCGTCTACAGGAAGTCTATGAAATGCAATGTTAGCGTTGCAACAGACTTCGTTCTTCTGGACTATCTTCTCGTGTAATGGCTACGCGCATCGAGTTGCACGACTAGGTTTTGCTCGACAATGCGCTCATTGAGGAATTAACGATCGGAGCAAAATGTTATTCTCAAATGAATCCCGTGTCTGCCTGGAACTGGATCCGATGGATGTGTAAGAGTTTGGAGAAGAACCGGTGAACGATTTTCACAAGCTTGCATTGCTCCAAAAATGCCATTTGGTGGAGGCTCGGGCATGGCTTGGGAAGGTGTATCTTCCGACTTCCTCACAGAATTACCCTTCATCGAAAATGGGTCCTTAACTGCACGAAGGTACATTACGGAGATTCTGGAAAAACATGTTATGCCCACCATGACAAGTCTTGGAGAAGACGCCGTTTTTATGCAGGACAACGAGCGACCTCACGTTGCCAGTATCAGTATGCAATATTTGGACGAGGTTGGAATGGCGAGGTTACCCTGGCCAACTAGGTCTCCGGATCTGAATCCCATCGAACATCTCTGGGACGATTTGAAAAAACGTATTCAAACCCATACACCTTCTTCTAACAACGCACAGGAGTTTAAAGATCTGTTAGTGAGAAAGGGGAATAACATAACACAACATGTAATCCGGAAAAAAATTGAGAGCATGCCCCGTCGTCTGCACGAGGATATTAGAGCAAGAGGAAATTAGTCATTGAAATTCCACTGATGTTTTACCACATTCTGTATTTTCCATTTTTTTTTCGTATGTCTGTTTTATCAATAATTTGGTTTATTTTCTGCTTTTTCAATAAAAACAATAAAGATCCGTTTTTTTTTTTCTTCAAAACAAACATTGATGACAAATAAAAAATACATTATGTCTAAAAAAAAAGGGTTGTAACTGCACGAGAGGCAAAAATTTTCAAGTTTCACAGTATCATCAAAATTTAGTTTGTGTAATTTAGCGACATACAACCAAATTTTTTGCGTGTGTAAATTCTTCATGAGTTTCTGGTAGCTGATAACGGCAAGTCCAATTTTTCCATTAATGTTTAATGCTTTTACGTTTTGAATGTGAAGATTTCCCTATATACATTTTAGTCTATTAAAGTTATCAGAAGTCATGTTTTAAGGGAACAACTTTCTTTTTATTTACTTAATTTTTTAGCCAGGAAGATAAACAATTCATTATCCATCGACCAAAGTATCAGACTTTCATTCATAACTTCTCGCAAAAACTGCCGATTACCAACGGGAACTGTCTAGTTTGTAATAGCAGACTTTCATCTAGATTATTTTTTTGCATTTATCGCATTTTGTTATCGTTGAAACTATTTTTTTTTAGATTTTGCGATTGTCATCGAATATAAAACAAGAAAGTCCTTTGAGAATAAGTGTGTACGCAAAACACTATTACCAGAGTGGTTTAATCGGTTTACAAACTACCGAACGTCTATTGAAATTGACTCGTTTTTTGTCGACCTTCCAGCACAACAACCGAAAAGATTGAACGTATGAGATCCTTTGCGATTGAAGAATGTACACTTTACGTTTATGTGAAGAAGTAAAAAACGGACTACCTAAGCTCTGACGTCACAACCGGGGGATTTTGGAAATATTGTTTTTTTTTATCGTTTGAAGATTAAATAAGGACTTTTGGTTAAGAACATTCATTTTGTGCGATTTGTTGTTCATGAATTTGAGAGGTAAGAATATCAAAGTATATTCTTAATATCAAAAATATTTACTATGAATGCTCATATTTTAAGGTTATGTTATGGTTTGCTTAAAATTTAATTATTTTTACCGTATTTCGAGGTAATTTATTGTTGATTTTATTGGAGATATTTCAAAATTATTCAATAAATCATTAAATTTAAGAAGTTAAAAAATATTGAAATTAATGTTTTAATCTTTTTTAAGTGCTAGTGATTTTATCCCCTAAAAGACTAAATATATTAGCTATCTCGTAGATTAAATAGTTAATAGTAGTTTTTTGTCATTACTGAAAAATTTAGTAGTACTGGAAATCTTCAACACATGTTTACTAGTCATTATATGCCCATATATAAAAAAAATACACTTAAAAACTATTACAATATTTAAAAAACATTTTTTTAAACGCTTATGGCAATTTGATAGAAAGGTTTTCACACAATGTTATATTACAACTTAAACTACGAGAAAACGAATATCTTAAGTATTTAACAGGATAAAATCACTGACAACGGAAAAAGAATAAAACATTAATTCAAATATTTTCAACATCGTAAATAAATTCAATAATTTATTGATTTATTTTGAAATAACCCTGATAAAAAAAAAAACAAAATACCTTGAAATACAGTAAAAAATAATAAGTTTTAATCAATAACATAACCTTAAAATATGAACATTTATAGTAATTATCTTAATACTTTGATATTCTTACTCCACAAATTCACGAATTACAAATAATACCAATCGCACAGAATGAATGTTCACAAATGCCAATAACCAATATTTCCAACTTCTTATGGGACTATTTACTGCTGCTCTGAAGAGTTCTATAGAACTGCATATAAACCAGTCCCTTAAATTATTTAACCATGACACTCTCCTTCTTCCTATACTTCTCCTCCTCCTATCTTTCCCTGTATTACTAGCCTTAGCAGTTCACATCGCTACCCCCTCGTTATGTGTCCCAGATATTGTAACTTTATTTTTATTGTATTTATTATAATACTTCCGTGTTAGTTTTCTTCTGTGTCCACGCTATTCTAAGCATCCTACTGCAACACCACATTTCAAAGAACTGTAACTTATTTATGTGTTCTTGCTTCAATGTCCAACTTTCAAGTCCATATTGCAGTATCGAAAACACGTAGCATCTCAGTGCTCTTACTCTCAGTTCTAATCTAAGGATCCCTTATGGGACAAAAACACACAAATTAGAAATATTTGGAGAGGTTTTTAAGATCGTCGCTCATTGTGACGTCAGTTTTGGATAGTCCCTAATAAATAATTTTCCGTTTAAATTTTAAAAAGACTGTGTACGCAGTGAAAAGAAATGGTTCTATTTTTAGGCTAACGGAGAATGTAACGACTGACAACCTTTTAATTACACAACTATCGTCAGTCTCTGTACTGTCCCGACAGAGCACCTTGCGAGATTTTCGTGTTTCTAAAACTGAAAATACCGCTTAAAGTACAACGTTTCGAAGACGTAGTGGCGATCCATACAAGCGCGACGATGATACTGGTTATAATTTCAGGACTTACAGCAGCGATGGAAACGTGTTGCTTAGTCGTCGCATTGTCAAACGGGAATTACTTCGTGGGTGCCGCAAGCTAGATGACGTTGAATAAAGAATTGAAGAATTATGAACAAAAATCTAATATTTTTGAGACATACCTCGTACACCATTTAGGGTATTTCTTATCTAAATAATTTTTAATCATTGGTATGTACCAGAAAACACTAAAAATTACGATAAACTCGAGGCATGTTGAAATTATACAGAAGATACTGTGTGAAACTGTGGGCTAGTGACTAGTTTGTCTGTTGGCACATTTCTTTAAATCATTCTAAAATGAAAAATGAATATTATGAACCTGATAACTTTTCTATTGATATTAAAATACAATTTTAATTAAAATCGATACAATAGGATGTATGATTAAAAGCAATACCCACACGAATGCAAACAAAATGTTTAAATTACTTCATACTGTTATTTTTCCTTTTGTTATAAACTCAGAAAAATCAGGGGGATTTTAAATACATTTATTGATACCGGTAAAAATTAAAACAGGGGGATTCGTACAGAAAACACATGAAAACTAAAAATATTTGATTACATTTATCTCTTAAAATTTTCCAAAAATTATTTTTGTTGACGTAAATATGCATTTCCAGTGAAAAATGATCTTGAAATTGATACGTGGCTTGTATTACTACTAAAACTGAATTTATTATTAATAAATATCCTAAAAAATACCACAAAGAAAAATGTAACATTTAAGGTATAAAAACAGGCATGACACACAGAGTAACAATGAGTAATGAAGGTAAAGTTATTGGTCACAAACAATGGATTAATGAAAAACGTAAATATATACGGCTATGGAAACGGGCACAAAAATTTTTTAAAAGGAAACAAGAAGATTGCTACTACAAAGAAATTAGAAACCTATGTAAAGGAATAAATAATCAAAGAAAGAATCAATAACTAGTTTGAAAACCAACAAATAGGCGACATACTAATAAAGAATATGCAAAACTATATGCAAAAAAATATGGAAACAAACAGCAATTTTTTTTTAATATAGTTAATTATATTTACTGTGTGTTTGCGTTAATATTTTAGAGATAAATGTAATTCAAGTAAACACAACAAATAACACAAAACTCGTCACACTGGTTACATGAAGAAGTCCCGACTCACCATATGTGGAAGCCTCTGCTGCAACATCTGCATGTCTTCAAATGAATAAATGGGCTGTTGGAAATACGGCACTTGTCCTATGTACGGCATACTCATGACAGGCGTTACATTGGGTGGCATGTTTGACACAATACTGTTGGAATTTTTCACTGAAAAAGAAAAAAAAGTATATTAATATTATTCAATAATGATACGATGCCGGGACAACTCAAAATTGGTCGTTTTTAAGATTGTCTATTCTTATGCCGGCTTCACACATGGGGGCCAACATTGGCCCCAACAGCGTTCGTCCAATGTGTGTACCGACAAAACTGTGTTGCGAGCCAATGTTGGCCCCAACGTTTTTATGACGTGCTCCAACGTTGGGAGTTTTCCGTGGACTGTTTAATTACACATCAAAGGAATTAGCGCCAATCTAGCAAAGCAAAGAAAATAAACCAATTACAAGCCACAGTTTATAAAAAGAGTCCTCGTCATCATTTTCTTTTAAAACACTTGTGCTGCCATTTTACACAGCATTCGTTTTAGAAAATAAAAATTACTTTATCGCAGAAAATTTCCATTCCATGGCAGCATTGAAAAACAAATTTATATATATATATATATATATATATATATATATATATATATATATATATATATATATATATATAAGTGGAGCAGAGCTTCAGTGAAAACGCGCCATCGGGTTCTATTTTGCGCTAAGGCCTTCACCTCATTCCAAGACTCTCCTTGTTTTCTTATCTCGTCCATGATGGATCTTCTCCAAGTTTGTACTGGGCGACCTTTTTTTCGTTTTCCTTGGGGATTCCACTCTAGGGCAGTCTTTGCAATACTGGAGTTATTTTTTCGGAGTGTGTGACCGATCCAACCCCACTTTCTGGACTTTATTTCATTTACTACCCTCTTTTGTTTGGTCAGGTGTAGTAAATCTTCGTTTCTGATGATGTTAGGCCAGAAAATACGAACAATTCTTCGTAGACATTTATTAACAAAGACCTGCAGTTTGTCTGTAAGGGTTTTTGTCGCTTTCCAGGTTTCACATCCGTAAAGTAGTACAGACATGACATTTGACTGGAATATGCGGATCTTTGTCCTCGTAGTGTAGTCTCCAGACCTCCAAACAGGGTTGAGCATGCTGAAAGCTTGTTGCGCTTTTCGTATCCTCATACGAATATCGTCTTCTGTACCTCCGCTTTCTGTTATGACACTTCCAAGATACGTAAAGTTTTCCACATTTTCAATCTGCATGTTATTAATGGTGAATAGCGTGTTGTTTCTTGCATTTATTCTCATGGATTTGGTTTTACCAATATTGATTTTCAAACCTATTTTATTGGCTTCAGTGGAAAGTGTTTCCAATTGGTCAGCCACATCTTGGAACCTTTGTCCTAACAGGCAGATATCGTCGGCGTATTCTAGATCGCTTAGGCGTGTGGTTAACGTCCATTGTATCCCTCTTGTGTCAGAGTCTAGTTTGGAGAGAACATAGTCTAGAGCTATGTTAAAAAGAAAAACAAATTTAAAACATGTAAAAATCGATCTTCGGCCACCTCCGTTGAATTGTTTAGGATTAACACTCGGATACACGTCGGCGGTCTAAAGGCTATTTCATGCATAAATAATATACATATCTGGTTTTTTCAGTACCTTTCAGGCCGCCAAATAAATGTATTTAAGTATCTAAATATTTTACAAAAGATTATGCTTTTAATTTTGAAATATAGATCATTTTGTCCTAATAGACCACCATCGTGTGGTCATGTAACTTTTAAAATATGTGTTTCCATATATCGGCTGTGGATTAAAGTCACGTTTGATGCAGAATATAGTCAAAATAGAAGAAGAAATTTGAGAATTGAGTTAGTAAAAGAATAAATGGGATTCAGAGCCTCGACGTCTGGTTTACACTCATAAATTGAGTCTGCAGTTGCCAAATACGGCATCTCTAAAGATCTAGTAGCTTTAAGTGACGCTGTAGACAAAATGACGTAAAATTCGCCTTTTTTGTAGCAAAATATAATCATATGCACTCATTATCACGACAGTCGCAGCCGCTGCAGTTTCCATGTCGGACATGTTGATCTTGGCTCTAGAGAGAACAGACTGATATCAGCCCAATACTCAACCCAATGTGTAGATGCCTCACCGAACATGGGAACACAGTTGATCCAACGTTGGCGCCAATGTTGGATCCCATGTGTGGAGCCGGCCTTACACATAGAGATTTTTAAGGTCTATAATCCGCGATGACTGGACCATTTTTAAGTGCGATGCTCTCCGGGTGAAGGCGCTAGGTCCACTGTTATAGTGCGTGCAAGCACTCCTCACCACGGCGCAGTAGACGGACTTTGGTTTAGTCCCCACTTCCATGCGAAACGCACTGTACTATGCACTGTACAATTCCACTTACAATAGAACCTTTCTGCCTTTACGTGAATTTGACTCCGCCTTCGCGCAGCTCCATGATCAGGAGTGCTTGAACTATATTTACATTAGTTTAGATTATTATTACTTTAGATATAACTTTGAACTGCAGAATATTTACAAGCATACGTTTAGTGGTAAGATATTACCACTATAATTGAGCGAAACCGCCTGCAAAGGGCAGGACATGTAGCCCGGCCCTCTGAATCGAACATGATAAAAAAGATTCTAACAGCGCAACCCGTGGGAATGAGAAGACGGGGTAGACCAAAGCTGAGGTGGATGGATGGGGTAACACAAGATGCGGAGAAGATCGGAGTCGGCAACTGGAAAATGCAGGCAAGGGACAGAACCGAATGGCGTAGAAAGCTTGAGAAGGTCGAGGCCATCTAAGGGCTGTAGTACCAAGATGATGATAATATTCTACAGCCTACATACATCTCACAATAATTTGTCATAAATAACAGTTTTATTACTACAGTTTCCAATTTTTCCTTCGGTTTTCTAGTGTCATAGCTACGACGTATGTTGCGTAATTACGCAACATAGTCACTATTGACCAAATATTGTTTTGTATATTCTTATTTTCACATATCTCATGCTGCACAAAGATCAACTTCAGATTCGTGTTGGAAAGTGGCGCGAACATATTGAGTGGATTTCATTGCGAGACCATGTCACCTTGACATTGGAAAGCGAAGCACTGGCATACGCTAATACTGGGACTGATAACAGTTTTGGGGGCGGATAGTAACGACCAAGGTCTCCCTCAAGCAAGTGATGGAACAACTTTGGCCGAAGGCTTGGAGCAGCGTATACTAGATTGGAGGATTGAGAAGCTGCTTCAACATAATTTAGCTAAACGCGTCCGTTAGGGCTCTTGTTAACGAACGTTTTTTTCAACCGGTAACGGGCCGATGCTAAACGGGTACCAGTGTTGACGGATCATAATTTTCAAGGGATATGCGTCCGTTGACGGTATGGAATCTCCGAAATATCGTCAGTTTTAAAGTAACAAGTGCATGCAATACATGTTATATCAGTCGTCAAAGAAAAAAAATTATACTAGCCTATTATTTGTATAAAAAATGCAGAAGTAACGGGAGAAGAGTAAAAGAAAAATATGGATACATCCTATTTTATTAGAAAGAGAAAAGTATGGTGCTTTTCATATACTTTACGAAGAATTGAAAAAAGACGAAACAAAATTCTTCAATTACTTCCGAATAGGTCAAGAAACTTTCCGCAAATTGTTAGGAATAGTACATGATAAATTAAAACGTGCTGACACTAATATGAGGCTGTTCCTTGCACCTGCTGATCGACTATCTGTTACCTATGTATGAATTATGCTATTAGTATAACAGAATAAAAACTTTCGGTTATAAAAAAATTTTTAAAAAATTACAAACTTAATAGATTTTTTACTATTTAAGAATATACAATCTATATATAAAATAAAAATTATTGGTGAAATAACTTATTAAAATCTCCATATTAAAATCCATATTTTAGCGGCAACAAAGAAAGAAATTTATTGAAACAACAGATGCTCGCCCAACTCCGTTAACACACTTCCATAAACTAAATAGGTTCACTGAGGGTTCACGGTACCGTCCCGTCGAACGTCTTGTCGAGGGGGACTGGATACGTAGACGGTGAAAAGTTAATCAACGTGTTGGTTGCCGTTGCGTGAACACATTCATAAGAACCTGAAAGACATTGAGCAACGTCCAACGGGACGGTGTCAAAAACGTCCCGTTGAACGTTGTCGTTAACAAGAACTCTTATGGGACAATAATGAACAAAGCAAATAAAAGATGTTAGGAAATCGCGATGAAGCTCAAGAAGGAACGAAAAAGGTCCAGCGAGCGAACATGGACGCGAAGCGAGGAAAAGGTTTTAGTACCTAATCAAGTCAGCCGACTTCTTTTAAAGAAAACTTTCCTAAATCCTAAAAAAGATCTATACACTCTACAATTATTTTCCTAAGATAAGTTTTTTTTCTGCGGTTTATATTAAATTTTGTGATATGCTTGACTTGTCAAATCCAACTGTGAAAAACGTCTCAAACGAAAAAATCGCAATTCCGAAAAATCGATCACAAACGTTTATAGTTTGATTTATAGCTCTGAAAAATATGTAATAGAGATCGGAGTGCGAGAGCGTGAGTCACCCGCTTTCTCAATGTATTAAAAAATCATTTAAAATTACAACTGCAGAAACTCATTTAAGTTATCATCATGTCAAAAATGACTAAAGAGACTTACCTAAAGCTGTCGACGTTTTACTAGTAGTAACTCCGGACTGAGACAATGACAATGGCGTCGTAGTCGTAACGCTACTCGTAGAAGTCGTCTGGCTGCTACTTGATGTACTCGAACTATTTTCATAGACGTTACTGTCTTTGCCTATTTTGTTCGTGGAACTGTAGCTGTTATACTGGCTTGTCGTCGTATTACCATAAGTTGAACTGTTATTCAACCCTAACAAAATAAAAGAATATTTTATTAACATAAAAATATTTACTCTTTAAAATAACAATTAGAAACTATTAAAACAATTAACTATTTTACTGTGGAAACCAATTAAATGAATACGATAAATATCGCTAACATATTGATTTTGCTTAGTGATTTTAATTGAGATATAATGGAAACAATTCTATTTTCTATACTATTAACACTATTTGAAATTATTATCGAAGTAATAATTTACAAGAATATTTTTTCCGTGCAAATACACAAACGACATCTGAATTTGTCTTACCCCTTAAATATTTTTAATTCTGCAAGCCTATGATGCGACAGGATTCATTAGTCACGATATTTACGTTTATCTTTGTATTAATAATTTTAAAAACAAGTGGAATGCAATATTATGATTAATGGCAAAGCAAATTGTTTTTATGATTACATTAATCATATTTTTAATTGTGGTTGTTATATCCTACAGAGCAGATTAAACTTTCCTCTTTATTTTATCTCCTGTAAGTGTGGATATGGGGATTTTTAATCGAAATTGAAGGGGTTAGAAGTAAAACCGCCTAAGTAAAATTTTCACCAAAACGACTTTAGTGATGTTTCACGTTCTGAATATCTTATATCGTTTGGTAGTAAAATCGACTACGCTCTAACCCTACTTTATCGCCATCTTTTGATGAATAGAAAAAACAACCAAAATGAAATTCACCAATCGTTAAGAGCAGAAATCGCCTTAGCGCACCTAGGCTGTTTTACCTCCAAACAAGCGGCTGGATATAAATATATTTTTATTACTTATGTTGTTTGGGTTCCACTCAACGGTTTGGATTTGTTTATGGCGTGTAGGTTATACTTCTTTAGTAGATTAACAGCAGTGTTTCAAGTGATACTATTGTTTGCAGAAATGATATATTTTGTCATTATAATATTTGGATCATGTTTTTTGAGTTTTGATATTATTTTTAGAGTCAGATAGTGATCCATACGCTACAGATGGAGAATCTGATTTTATTCCGAGTGAATATGAAGAAGATAACGACAGCGATAATTCTATAATATCTGCCGAGTAAGCAACTATAGGTATATAAGCACACATGTAGAGTATAATATTTGAGTAGTAAAAGTGTGTGTTTTAGCTTGTTAGTTTTAATTTAAGCGTAATATCCCTATCAAAAATTAATTTATTATGTAAATATTAAACTTGTAAATACCGGTAAATTTAGTACCTACCTTACAGTTATGTACTTTTAGAAATTTCGAAGTTAAGTTCAACTTAAGGGTTTAACATATTTTTCCTTTTCAGTAATTCCTAAAATTTACCGAAAAAGGAAGCGTAACATACATGCATGGAAGAGGAATAAAATCACAAATAAGGGGCTTGCTGGCCAAGAATATGAAAGCAGAGAAAAATTGAAGAGAAAGAAATGTGTCCAGGAGTATATACATACGCGTGTAGGTACCAATGTGGAATATTTAACGACATTAAAAGTAAACGACTCTTCTCTAAGTTGGACAGTTTACCAACCTGCAAACAGCTTTTTTAGCTTCATATATCAGAAAAACTGAACCTAAAAAAAACTGGCTAATAGCAAAAAAATTACAGTACAGAAATTAAACTTCTTGACCGCCGTATATGCAGACTTTTTCCTAAAAACTTTTGATATCAGAGACAGTCGCTTTAAGGTTATGTGTAAAAAAGTTAACAAAAACAATTTTGTGGAGCCTGATAAAAGAAGAAAATATGTCCCAACCAACAAAGTATCAGAGAACGCAAGAAAAATAGTGATTGAATATATCAGATCATTACTACGTAATAGGAGTCATTACTCTTATAATCAAAATCCAAATACGAAATACCTTTCGTCCGATTTAAACATTCGCAAAATGTATGGTCTTTACAAAGATAATAATTGCACTGATAACGATAAACCCCCAGGAAGGGATGAGGGATTATATTTTCAATACTGAATTCAATTTAAAATTTCACCATCCTCATTCAACTCTTGTTATAAATGCGATCGGTTGGTAAACTTAATATCATCATCAACTGAAGACGAAAAAAGAAGTACGAGACAATTTAAGTATCAAAAATGGCAAAATTTATAACAGCTGCTAGAGTTCATACCCCCATTTACCATCAATTTTATAATGATTTGCCGCAGGAGTCAAAGCAGCAAAAAAAAACACAATGAAAAAAGGAAGCACTGCTGTTAAGTCTTCCAAAGAAGATGCCAACGTCGAACGAGACGACTACATAGGTTTTTTCTCAGATTATGAGTAACTCTGGTGTTATAAAAAAGTAAAATTTGTATTTTTTTTAAGAAAAAATAAATATTAATTGAAAATTAAGCTTTTGTTTAGTTCTTTTTGTGTATTATAAATCCATTTTTGCTTAAAGGTAAAACAACCTAAGTGCATTTTTTTGTCGAAAGAGGTAAAAAAACTAAAATAATTTCTCACCAGAAGTATCTTCAAAATTTTATACTTATTTTGAATTGTTTAATACTTTAAAATTTTTAATTTTGAACATCCAGAATTTTTAAAAGAGCAAAAACTTTGATGCTTTATTTCTCAAAATGTGTATTTTGCTACTTAGGCGGTTTTGCTTCTGACCCCTTCAATTGTATATGTGACTATGGGAATTTTTAATCGAAACTGTATCACAGTTAAATTTACCGACAGTTGTCTAAATTTATGTTAGTGAAAATTAAAATACATTACAATTTTCTGAATATATACCATCAATTAATGAGAAAATGGCAGTAGTAGCAAAAAATTTCTAGTTAATGTTACGTAAATTGTAGATAAAAGGATTTTAGCTCTTTTAACACTGTGATCTGAAAAGATTTTTTTGATTATCCTAGATCTATTTTTGTGACTTTCAGATGGGTTCTAGCATCTACTGTCGAGCCTCTTTTGGATAAGTTTTTGTTTTAACTGATATTTAAAAGGATTGATCCCTATTATACACCAAGAAATAGTACTCACAAGAACATTTTGACAACTTAACATGGCCTCTCTCAGTTCAACACACTTTTCTCATTGGCACTAAATTTTTTCGATGACACCTTGCAAGGGATTTGCTTTGAGTGTTTAACCACCCATTCATAGCACACATCACTTCATGTCTCTCTACTCTTATTTATTACTGTGTAGAGTTTATCAAATATCCCTGAACTTTCATCCTACATTCTGTGTTCAATCAACATACTATTTTTGACTACTACCCATTTTTTGGTATTTTAAACCTTACCATTACCCTTTACATTAGTACTTGAAGCCAGTATTCTGGATATTCAAGAACACAAACAACATAAAAGTGATATAGTGACTAATTTTATTGTTTAGAATCCCATACAATGGTTTCAATAAAAATTATCAACTTTTTATAAATAATCACTTATAACATATAACATATATACTGGGTGGACCAAAAGTCAGTTAACGCTATCAAAATAAGTTACTTGTCCCACGCTGATCTTGCAGTGGGATCTTGTACTATTAGATTTCATAAATTACATATTATATATAAAAAACTTACCTGTGCTAGCACCATAAACAGATTGACTAGTATTCTGTGGATAGGATGGGGTATTTGAAGAGTACGAATTAGCCTGACTAATCGATGGAAATGCTGCCGAATTCGTATTAGATTGATACGAACTATTTGAAGAGTAGGTACTTGGATAAGTGTTCCCACTAGCAGCATTGTATGATCCCGTTTGACTGTTCGCATAACTATTAGCTTGATTCGTCACATAAGAACTCACAGTAGACTGGAAAAAAAAATCATAATTAGCATTTTTGATAATTGTTAAATGTTTGATTTGTTTAATATGTTACAAGGACAACGCTTTTGAAATAAATACCCATAGTGCTCCTGTATCTGCGTATTATTGTGTTCCTCACATTAGTAAGGTTACTTGAAAGCATAGATCATAATTACTGGTGCCACAGCTCAAGTTAAGACTTGAGGCGTCTCATAGCAAAACTTGCCTTATCCAAATTCTACGAAAAATGAGGTTAATATGGTAACATATTCTTAAGGTTGATATGCTCCTCTTACAGTAATATTTCCGTAACAAATGTTGCTTTATCCCATTAATATTCACCTGCAAAATACTGCTGTCAGCGCAAAACTCGCCTTATCCACTGCATCTTACATGTCAAAACTCGCCTGATCTACGCAGCCTATAAGAATGCTGGAAACATACAGCATGTGATCCAAACTGACAATTTTATTTTTATTCGGTTGTTAAGGCAGTATATTAGCAAACGTTTGTCTGTGCAGTGTGCTAATATGTACATTGTTTTTTGTTTTATTTGATAAATTTATTTAAGTTATATTTATTATTAATTTATGAAATTATATGAAATTCATTGGTCTAAACAAGTCGGCAGAGAGAGGTAGAAGTAGAAAAGTTGTTGGAGACAAATCAAAGTGGAGACGAGAAATATTAAAATGTGAGCGGTATGCTGCAACTTGTATTTAAGTAATTATTAAATTATTATATTAATATTATTATATCAATATTCAATAATATTATTATTATATCAATATTAAAGTATTGTTTTTTATTTTTGTAGACATTCTGCGACAAACTTGCCAGTATATCCTAAGTGCAATCATAACGGGAAAACATATAGAAGTATTAAATTAAGTAATCGGGACATTTACAATTTTCATCGTAACTTTTATCAAGAGAAAACCAAGATTGAGCAAGATGCATACATATTAAAATTTTGTAGATGTTCACAACCAAAGCGAGATAGACAGAAAAAAGAAAATAGCAGTCGGAAAGGCGTATGTGTAAAATACTTTGTGAAAAAATCTGATTGCGAAAAGTTCAGGTTTACCAAAAAACATTCTTAATATTTCTAAAGCTCGTGTCCAAAGAATTGTAAAGTAACATCTTGAAACCGGACTTATGTCCAGAGAAAAACGTGGCGGTGATCGCATAAGCAAAAAATATGAAGAAAAGCGAATGGCCGTTAGAAAATTTCTGGAAAGTTTGAAAGGTGTCGAATGCCATTACTGCCGTTCAAAGTTAAGTCGGCAATATTTGTCTAGTGATTTAAATATATCCAAACTTTGGAGGCTTTACAACCAAGATGCTACTATTGTCGTAAAAAAAAAACTTTTTTTCATCACATATTTTCAAGAGAGTACAATATTGGATTTGGAAGTCCAGTAACAGATGCTTGTTCCAAATGCATTGAGATTTCTGAAAATATTAAATTAGAAAAAGACGTCGATAAAAAAATGTACTTTTGATAGAGAAGAGGGTAAATAAGCTAAAAGCCGATGCTTTTTTGACAAACTTAAGAAGTTAGATCCTAATTTAATAACCTATTCATTTGAATGTCAAAAGAATTTGGTCAAACCCAAGATCCTTGACCAAATTGCCTATTACAGCAGACAGTTATACACCTACAACTTTACTGTGGTTCAAGATGCAAAAATGTCTTAAGAAAACGTTCATATTTATACTTGGATGGAACATCAACAAAAGAAAGTTTCGAATGAAATCTCTTCAGCAGTTTATCATGCACTTATCATAAGCTGATTTGTCGTCTTATTCGGACATATATGTGTGCTGACGGATGCGGTGGACCAAATCGCAATTCAACAATGCCATAACATTAAAACTATAGAAATCATTTTTCCTGTTCCTGGACATTAATATTTACCACCTGGAACACGACACTGTAAGAAATTTAGGGCAAGATTGTCTCGTTATGGACTGGAAATCTGCTGTAAGTTTTCCGATGCCAAGAGATTTATACTAACAAAAAATCGTAGTGGAATGTTATGGTTCAGGGAGAACCTTTCTATTGTTCGGACACAGGAATACCCAAGTCAATTTTAAAAACCTGCCAAGTTATCCTTATCCATTTTTATTTATTTTTTTTTACCAAAATGATGATATTGTATGTTTAAATAAATTAATGTTCAAGTTTTCTTACATTTTATTGTATATTAACACTTGTTGTACCTTTTCGCTTGTAAAAAATAACTTCGGTAAAGGTTTTTTCGATTTTAAAGAAACTTCATAACGTGGATAAGACAAATTTGGATATGAGACACCTCACTTGATCTTCCTAACCTTATTCCTCAATGGGTCCTATTTTTGCAGTTTGCTGCCAATTGACAACACCGATCTTATTGTGTGTATATACATAGCCAATAAAACAGAATTACAGGGGGATCTACAAACCTTCTCCCTAGTTTTTTTTTATTTCAAAATAATTTTTTGCTTTCTTCCTTTCTTACAAGTAAATGCAATTGCTTCTTATATTTAGTATACTCGTTTTAATAAATATATATTCAACATTGTTATTTCGCGCTACTAGTAATAAAGATTCTATCTCAGATTGCCAATGACATCCTAAAGAAAAGGTAACACTATGAACTAGACACTAACATAAAAAACTTATATAAAGTGCTGTTCATGAGTTAATACCTGAACCTTCAGTCTCGTCATCGTGTCATCATAGATCAGATTTATTTAGATATTATTTATTAGAAGAGACAAAAATATTAGTAAATCATTGATACTTACTGTCGTCCCACTGTATGTCGATGAATTGTAAGTATTTGTTTTAGGCTGGTAGGAACTGTAAGTTGAAGACTGTGAGTACGAATGTGTGTCAGGCGGTTGTTTACTCCCTCCTAGATCCAGGCCTGCTGCTGTTACCGAAGATGATGCTGGAGTGCTGCCCTGCGTCGTCGTCCGAGGGGCAGAACTGTACGTGTTCGTCAGATGATCAGTTGTTTGGGGAATGGAATCTGAATTTGAAAGCTGAGAAAAAAAAATAGTATACATAAACACGAACAGCTCAAGTAGCCTAGGACATCTGCACAGTTAATTTAAAAAACATTGGATACAAAATTGCTCGTTTTGATTGAGCGGTCTTTGCATTCCCCAAGTTGGCGAGCATATCGCAGTTTCAGTTATTTCTGAATGATTATATACAAAGTTAGGTATTCTTACTTTTTAATACAAGTCTACTCAATATTACTTTTCATATACTTGTATGAACAGTCTTATGATTAACACCTTATTGAAAACATCTTAAGAAAAAAAGAAAGAAAGCTGCAATAAAGTTTTTAAAAATAGGTTTAACCCTTATCCGGAAAAGGTGTGTCCATCGGACACACTTATAGATATATTACTGTATATTTCGAAAAGCACATTATATTATTATCTCAAAAATTAGGACTTTGTCTACTTTAAAGTAAACTTATTGGAGACAACATCTCAAATATTTTGAACTAATCAAAATAAACTATACAAAAATAAAATTCTTTTTACTAACATAACCGAACAGTCCATAGCAAATTGTGTCCGGCGGACACAATTTGCTAATTAATTCACTTCATAGTTATATTGAATTTACAATAGAAACAGAACAAAATCATTCCATAATTTTTTTAGAAATTTAAAAATTATCAGACTTAAAAACAAACATGACTTCTCCATATTTCATAAACCTACACATACTGACACGACTATACACAATTCATCATCCCATTTAACACAACATAAACTGGCAGCGTATCATAGTATGTTACATAGATTAACAGAAATTCCGATGTCAAAATACAACTTTACAACAAAAAACAACGGATACAACGAACAAACAATAAAATGTTAAATCAAAAACTTCACAAGAAAGGCCTAAAATTAGTATTTCCACCACCAGAGAAAAAACCCAGTACCTTCTGCTTGATTACATATACAGGCAAAATAACAACAAAAATAGCCAAACACATAAAAAAGAAAGGAATAACACCAGCTTTCCGAACAAATAACAACCTAGGCAAATATATTAAAAATAACAAGAGCTAAAATAAAAAACACTTAAATAGTGGTGTGTACAAACTTCAATGTGGCGACTGCCCAAAAACTTACATCGGTCAAACTGGTAGGAACTTTAATAAACGAATAGCAGAAGATAAAAGGGCTTTCAATAATAGAAAAACAGATTCGACATACGCACTTCACCTTCTAGATCATAATCATTCTTTTAGTGACAAATTTAAAATTCTTCACATTCAAAATAAAGGCCTTAAGCTATCTTTGTTAGAATCTATGGAAATCAACAAATTAAAAAACACAGATATAATTCTGAATGATCAACTTGAGACAAACAGTTCTCCCCTCCTCAACCTATTTCATTAGAGACTATAAATTGTAAACGCATGCCAAAAATAGGTCACTTGAGAAAGGCAATCAGCCGAAACAGCTGTAGTGATAAGAGTTAAAATAAATTTTGTGGAAGTATGAACACAAAGTTTTCAGTGTTTTATTCGGTGTATGTGTTTGTATCCTTTAATGGAAGGGAAAGTGGAAGGAAGAAGAAAATGCTCCTGGTTGAAGAATGTAAGAGACTGGACACGTATGGACACATTCAATACAAAGAACAGCTCAAGATAGAAAGCAATTTGCTGTAGTTATAGCCAACCTTCAGTAATGGAGAAGGCACCTTAAGCAGAAGATTCATTAATGGAGGAAGACTAATGTAATTATTTTGTATTTAGATACTTTTCTTTTTTGATCTTTTGTAAGAGAATATTTTTTCTTGTAACGTTTTCTTTATTTTTATATTTTGCGCCTGAGTCGTTACATTATGTTAAAAGTCATACAATAAATTGTTAAAAATAACGCTTTCCTTTTTTTGCGTCGTTTACGAATTTTGCAGTACTTAATGTGCGACATTAAGTACCGCAGTGTGTCCACTCATGTAACTTTAGGAGACGTGGCTGCCGGACGGTTAATTTTGAATAACAAGCACAACAAACAAAAATACTCACGCTCTGTGACAATGCAGAGCTAATACTGTTCTGTGTATTAGTTTTAGGGGAATAGGCATCCAAACTAGAGTTTTGATTTACAGATGATGCACTGAGATCTAGGCTTCCACCTGAAGGAGTCACTACTGATGCTGCTTCAATGCTATTAGTAGACTGAGTTGTAGTACCATATTTGGTTTCTATGCCTCCATCAAACGAAGAATTTGCATCTATCAGATCCATAGCACCAAATTGGACATCCAAGTAGCCTATACTCGAATTTAGATCACCTGGCATTTCTACCGCACTAGCTGGTATCTGAAATTTAAAATAGTATAAAATTGAAAAAGGGCAAACATTAATAACAATAAAATTATAGACATTTATATTAAAATCAGGATGCCATGATCATCTGTATTAACAAACTGGTTTGTAAGTAACATGTACAGAGTGATAAAAGACTTATCACAAAAGTAGTGTTGCTTTAACCTGCTTGTCATTCAGTCTCGTCATCGTTTCATCATTTATTAGACTATACAGTAATATTTTTAAGATAAAGAAACAGGGAAACACATATGGGATGTGTTTATTTACCTCCAAACTCTCCATTATGTTTGTATGGAGACTATGTAAATTGTGTAGAAGGTATTTTATATGAAACACATATGTAGTTTGGGATATCTACTTTGTGATTTCAACCTGCCAAATATTCATTGAAAAAATTATGAATATGATTGAAGACCGATTGCAAATATTACTAACAAAGTTGAATGTATTTCAGAAAGTTTTGCTTTTTTAAATCTTTTTCAATTAAATAATGTACCAAACTGTAATGAGGGCTTTTTAGATCTTATTTTTTCTAGTATAAATAACATTGACTTGATCAATCCTTATTAAAATGTGATATCTATCATCCAGCCTTGTTCTTTGACATTATTGGAAATGATATTTTTGACTCTCTTAGCTATGATTATTTCTATTTTGACAAATGCTAATTATATCCTTATTAATGAATATTTAGGTTCAGTCGACTGGGATAGGATTATTGATGAGACAGATGTAAATAATAGTGTTGATAAATTTTATGAGGTGTTAGATTCCTGTATTAATCTATTTGTACCCAAAACCAGATGCAAAAACTCAAAATTTTCGAAATGGTACACTCTTCATTTAAAACATATATTATTTAAAGAAGATTGCTCATCCAAAATACAAAATGATAGGATCTAAGAAGGTTTATGATTATTTTTCTAATTTACGTCAAGAATTTAGGGATTGTTACAAAACATGTCATCAGATTCACCTAAATAATTTACAAACTGCTATGTACGATAAAAAAGATTTTTGGAATTATGTAAATAATCAAAGAAAATGTTTTGATTTGCCAAACACAATGAAATCTGAAAATATAACTTCTGAAAAATCCCAAAATATAGCAAATTTGTTTAGTAAATTTTTTAATTCAACCTATGTTACTAGTAATACAGATAATCGAGCGGTAAACTCTGATAATAGCCTTTGTATTGAAATTTGTGATATTACTGCATAAGATGTATTTGAATTTATATATGAGATTGATCTAAAAGTAAGTTGTGGACCTGATAATATATCCCCTTTGTTCATATTTAATTGTAGATTTATTCTGAGTTATATTTTACAAAAAATATTTAGTTTATCATTGAGCTCAAGTTTCTTTCCAGAGATATGGAAGAAAAGTTATACTACCCCAGTCCATAAAGGTGGTAATAGAGAAAATATTGAAAACTAACAAGATATATCTAAAATTTCAGTTTTCACTAAATCTTTTGAAGGGATTGTATCTGCAAAACTTGGTCTATTATTGAATATTACTTTAATACCCGACCAACAAGGTTTTATTCCAGGACGTTCTACTACTACCAATCTTTTGATTTTACAAGAATTTTTGTTGGATGCTCTTGAAGGGTTATGACCAGATTGATGTAATTTACACTGACTTTTCGAAGGCATTCGATAGAGTTAACCATACTGTCCTAATCTCTAAACTTTATAATGGTGGTTTACATGAAAGATTATTAGGCTGGATGGAGAGCTATCTCGCAGATAGAACTCAAGTTGTAAAAATTAACCAATTTTTGTCATCTATTATCAATGTAACCTCTGGTGTTCCACAGGGCGGACATTTATCTCCTCTGCTTTTTGTTTTGTAAATGATATAAAAAATTGTTTTTATCATAGTAATATTCTTCTCTACGCTGATGATCCTAAAAATTTATAGTCATAAAAAATTCCAAATGATTTGTGTAACTTAATGCTTTGAATTTGAACATAGATAAATGTAAGGTAATGCGATTTTTTAGAAACAAACATCCGATTTCATTTGAATACCATATTGGACGAAATATTTTAGGGGTAATCACAACATTTAAGGACCTTGGGGTAATTTTTGACCCTAGAGTAAGCTTCAGGAACCACTTTTCTTACGTTTCTAATAGATCCATGAAACTTTTAGGTTTCATGAAACATAGCCTCTCTGAATTTGATAATATTTATTGTCTCAAAAATATTTACTGTTCCCTTATTAGGTCGGTTTTGGAATATGGTAGCAATATTTGGTCTCCTTAATATAAATGTTACAAAGATCTATTAGAAAGAGTACAGAAAAAGTTCTTAAGATTTATTGCTTTTAAATTGAGAATATCTGTAAATGAAATTGAATACATTGTTTTGTAATCTTTACTTAAATTTCCTACTATTGAAGAAATGCGAATATTTCTAGATGTAGCATTTATATATAAATTAATACGAGGAGGCATTGATGCTAGTGCTCTTGGTATACTTCCGTACTCCCTGTAGAGACCAGATCCCAAGACTTATACAGTAAATAAACCCTTACAGAGAATGTGTAAAAATGCAAATAAATTTAATAGTAATGATTTTTTTCATTTATCACTAACTACTATTAAGAATAAGATCGAAAATACCTTTTTATGTAATCACATTATGTTTTAATAGTTTAAGCTAAATTTAAGTTGATTTGAAAAAAAAAGGCAAGTCCGTAAATAAACATTACATTACAACAAAAAATTAAAAAATACTAACAACAATTAATGCAAACCATTTATAACTATAGTAACATAGCAATTTTCGTTTTATCCATGGGATCTTAAATTTCAGCGAGACACTTAAAAACTACATGTGTATAGGTATAGAGTTATGTACGCAAGTGTTGAGAATCTTGGAAATTTCCATTAAGATTAAAATTTAAGGCCTATTCTCACTATAGTGCCTGGCACGTGCTCGGCTTGTGCCCTGCTCGAAACATGCAAAATTACTTTAACGTTATTTAAATGGGTTTAGCGACGGTCCGTTCTCACTACAAGCGCTTGGAGTGGGAACGGTCCGTGCCCGGCATCGGACAATCTTTTCAAACAATATTTTCCTAGCAACCTACTGGCACAGTCCTACATAGTGTGAATACTTCACACGAGTTTCGACAGACAAAATGGTGCGAAAAAATTATTTTTACATGATATTGTTGAATTTTTAATAGAATTAGTTTGTGAGAGAAGTGAATTATACGATTTTATGAATCGACTGTATGCAGATGCAGCACATAAGTCTCAGGTATGGTGGGATATTGTAGAAAAAATTAAAATAGGTAAGTAACACACTATATTTTATCTAGCTAATAGACCATTGCCGATAATATTTCAAACAAAAAAAGTAGTAGCAGGATGAAACTCATTGGAAAAGAGAGATGATATGAAATAAAACGAAAAATGATTTACGGACGACCTGTGTTCGGAAAATGGAGGGAATGAGTTTTTCAAGGGCAAAAATGGTTTATCGTGATTTCCTAGAGCAAGACGAACTACATATCTACTAAAGCAAGTAGAACTACAGAAAAAATCTTTTTGTAGTTAAAGTTGGAACCACTATTGATTGGTGCTATAATTTCGATGTGATTTCCATCTAGAGCTCCTAATGCGTTGGGAAAATTCCATGACAACCAAAATTTTTTGGCAATTGACATTCTATAATATACATAAAATTTTAACTCATCATTCATGAGTTCTTTATACAAGGTATAGTATTCTCCTTTTATTTTTCTTTTCTTAATCATTGGATGTATCCAAAACCTCATTTTTTAACTTTATCTCTCATATTCTCTTCTTCTTCGGCATCCAAAGTAAAAAATGCAATTTTTACTAAAGTTGCAGTATAAAACATTACAACTGCACAACTACCCACCTACATGTCTAACCGACTGCCTGTGCAAAATACCGCTGAAAGCATGCTACGAGCGCGAATAGAGTGAATATTCAACAAAAGCATGGCATGTGCCGGTCAGGTGACGAGCACGGGCCTGGCACGTCTAATCAGAATAGACCTTTACTTATAATTATTAGATTGTATCATAAAGATGATGTGATTTACTTTATCAAATGTGAGTTTTAGTAAGAAATCAATGAACAAAATAAAAGAGTTGTATTGAATAAGCAAATAAATCAGATGGTAATGAACCAGAGAAAACCATAGAATTTTGCAAAACTATTTCACATCGACGTAAACATAATTGAACTAGACCAAACGAGAAAATCAGTATCGTTTATATAAAAGAGCTAAAAATTGATAATATTTAAATCTTTTTATCAGTACTCAATATACTAAAATTATTAAAAATTATTGTAGACAAGGTTAAATGTTTTAGTATAAAACAAATATAATTACCTTTGAGGGTGGTGGTACCCGAGCCCTCTGTGGTTTTGTCCGGGTTGGTTGTTGAGTGGACACCGTTTCTTGACCTGCAACATAAACATTGCTCTGGTATGTATTGTCTGTTCCATATTGACTTGAGTTGGTTTGGGTGCCATACTGGCTTGAGTTGGTTTGGGTGCCATACTGCTGAGTTCCAGTACCATAAGATTGAGAAGAAACACTTGACCCATACTGATTAGTAGATGCACTGTTGTACTGTGGACTTGTGTTACTTGCGTATTGGTTTGTAGTAGGTTTTTCATAGGTTTGACTTTGATAAGGTTGAGTCTGATACGATTTGGCGAGGCTATCATTGTTCTGCTGCAACTATAAATAAAATAAGGAAATTAAATATATGTAAAATTTTACCAATATATATACAGCTGGTAAAGTTAAAATATAAAATCCAAAGATTAGGCACACACAAAATTCTATTGATTGATTGACCTTAATCATCATCATGTATTATTAAACTTCTTGAAATATCTTTAATAATTTATATATGAAAAGAAAGCAAACTCGTAAACAGCAGGATGTAATATTAATGTAAATCATTTTATACAATTGAATACTGAATGAATTGAAGCAACAGATACTAATACAACAAAGAAAGTAGAATTCTTTAACAGTAGAAAATAAAAAAATGTAAAAAGTGAAAAATTGCATGTGCGGATTATCCGGGCTGCGGATTATCCGTGCTACCTGACATTGAATTAGGGTTTTATCAGAATGACTTCACCGCAAATTACTACGTCGTAGGAAAGGCGTATAATGTAATATCCATAGCGTCAGTGCTCGGGGAATCCCTGGAAACCGGTAGCTTATAATATGCCGCTGCGCTGCGTGTTACGTCGAATGTGTGAGATTTAGTATTTACATGCATAGATGGAAGCTAGAAATCACTCGCAACTCTGATTATTCTTATAACGTGTTTTATTTTCAAAATGTCAACAACCAGTGTTAAACGAAAAAGAAGTTTTTTAACGATTGAACAAAAACTAGAGATTTTAAACAGAAGTGAAAAGGGTGAAAGTGTCACATCATTATCACGGAGCTACGAAGTTGGTAAGCAAACAATACGTGATATTAATAGAAACTACAAAATTTTATATCTCAATCTGACTCTTTTAAAAACATACCTGCACGGAAATCGTTAAAAGGATCGACTTTTCAACAACTCAATGAAGCGCTTTCCAAGTGGTTTCTGCAGAAAAGATCTGAGGGTGTACAAATTTCGGGACCAATGTGTGCTAAGCAAGCAGAGATTTTTCACAAAAATTTGAATCAAAGAACCTTTTAATGCATCCAGAGGTTGGTTACATCGATTCAAAAAACGCCACGGAATTCGTGAGCTTACCATCCAAGGTGAAAAGCTCAGTGTCGACCGAGAAGCAATGGTGGAATTTTGCTATGAACTGGAAACCATAATTACAGAAAATAATTTACAACTTTCTCAAATTTGTAACGCTGACGAAACAGGATTATACTGACGAGCAATACCTACAAAAACTTTAGTTGCAGATAATGAGATGAGTGCACCTGGGTATAAAAAAGTAAAGACAGGATAACGGTGTTGTGTTGTGCCAATGCGTCTGGCAGCCATAAACTGAAGCTGACTGTGATTGGAAAGTCAAAAAATCCTCGCGCTTTTAAAAATATGAAACAACAGTATCTCCCAGTTCACAATTATAACCAGAAGGCTGCCTGGATAACTTGTGACATTTTCAAAGATTGGTTCCATGAAAAGTTCATTCCTGAAGTAAAGTTATATTAGAAGAAAGAAAAATTACCACAAAAGGCGGTTCTTCTTCTGGATAATGCTGGTACTCATCCCAATGAGGCGACCCTAAGATCTGACGATGGAAATTTCTTTTTTTTCCAGCCAATATTACATCCATTGCTCAACCAATGGATCAAGGTGTTATTGAGACAATGAAACAACTCTACCGAAAAGAATTTATGATGAAAGTGTTGGATGAAGTTCATCTGATGAAGTTTTGGAAATCGTTCACCATAAAAGATGCAATTTTTCAGTGGCAAATGCATGGAATGGAGTGCAAGAGACCAATATCAAAAGAGCTTTTTACAAAATAATGACGCTAGAGGAAGATGAAAGTATCATGGAATATGATGATAAAGACACTACCATAACTGAACTAACTGCACTAGTGCGCAACGCTGATGCGTTTAAAGAAAATGACGAAACCTAGGTTGAGAGATGGACAGAGTGTGATAAAAAGTCTGACTCACACGTGTGTGAGTCAGGCTATCAGCTCTTCAGCAACGACGAAATTGTCGAACTGGTTTCCTATCAGCCTGGTACGACACAACCTGATTTATCCGAAAATGAGAGTCAAGATAAAGACAATGATGGAACGTTATTAATCAACAGAATAACTAACCAAAAGGTTGAGGAAGCTGCCAAGGTTGTAACAGACTATTTTGAGCAACAAAAATCTTCAGACTTTGTCGATATTTTAAATTTGTGTAAAATACGTCAGAAAATTATAAAAAATAGAAAACTCTTTTAACACAGGCCAAAGTGACTGATTTTTTTTTTTCAAACCATAGCCACCTAAAATATATAACACCTTTATGTAGTTTTTATTTTTATTATTTAATATAAAAATTTATTTCGGTAGAAATATGTTTTCTTGTTCTGTTATGTATGTTTTTATGTTAAAGTGTTTAAGACACTGAAAATGAAATATGCAACTTTTTTTGTGAGTTTACAATATAAATAAATTAACATACCTGCGAAAAGTATTGAGTTTGAGCTGCGGTAAGACTACCCATCATAGGCGGCACAGGACTTTGTGAGGGCCTCTGATTCGTATGCTGTACCAGTTGATCTGCAACAAAAGTTGGATCTTGCAATGCACTCATTGCACTACTTTGCTCAATCACAGGATCCATTGCTGAAGAAGGAATGCTAGGAGTAAATACTTTAGTATCTGCCAGACTTCCTTGGTATTCCTCTGTTGACCATTCATCTGTGCCTGGAAAATCATCCCAATTATCTTCTACAGTGTGATTTGTAACGGCGACAGTATTATTATCCCAAGTATTCGAACTATCCCATGTGTCAATAGGCTTATAGGCGTTATTGTTTCTGTTGCCCCTGGGTAAATACCGCCCACCGGTTCTGCCACCTCCTCTTCCTCCACGGCCACTTCCTCCGCCTCTAGGGCCACCGCCTGGTCGCCCTCTTCTGTCCCTGTCGCCGCGGGGGCGGTCCTCAGAATTACGATCGTTTTCTTGACGTTCGCGTTCACGACCTCGCCAGCCCCTGTTGTTCTGTCTGCCACCGCGACTGCCACCCCGTGGTTTATCTTTGTCTCCGCCAGCGGCATTCGATAATGGTGGCGCCACATCATTCCATTCTTCAACTGGAGCATTTTCATCAGCCTTGTCTTGTTTGCTGGCTGAAGCTTGTCTGTTCTTTTTCTTTTTAACTCTAGTTTCCCACTCTCCCTAAAACAGAAATCTATGTTAATAATCAAAAACTATTTATTATGCAACACATTTTTTGATGAATTTAATAAGTAAAATGATATGGACTATCTATCACAAGGTGAAATTTGGTAAAATTTAATAGTACACATTAAAATATATAAACCAGTTGGGTTTATATATACATTGCGTTTTCATAACAAACTATGTTGTATTTCACAACAACTTGTCTAAATATTAATTTTCATAGAAGATATTTTCTTCAACTACGGATGGAATTGCAACCAAAAAAAGGAAATTGAAAAAATTGACGAAGTAAGCTCAAAAAAATATAAGAAAAAAAAAACAAAATAAATAATGCTAGAACACCCATACATAAAAACGATGAAAAGTACATTGTTCAAGTTGTTTGATACTATAAAATACAAAACAGCAAATATATGTAAGACACTGACAGAGGAATACATAATAAGAAAATGCAAAGAAAAAACAAAAAGTGGTTGGTTTACTTTTCACAAAGCTCAATTTATTGGCGAACAGAGAGCAGAAGTTCAAAATGAGATTCGCAGAAATAAGTAAATATAAAATTCAATGAATGAAAAGGACTAGAAATGGACGTGAAAAAAAACTAAGTTCACCATTATTACAAAGCGACATCACCATATATATAATCTCCCAATATATTATATATCCAAAATATCCAAAACAAGAAAAACTAAACTTAGATAACCTAGAAAATTACTAGAAAATAATTACTAGAAGAAAACAGAGCAGACTCCACAATAGAAAACCAATGGAACACCATAAGCAGTATCATACACAACACAGCAAAAGAAGACCTAGGAACAAAGACACAACGGAGAGAAGAAACAGGGTTTGATGAAGAATGCAAACAAGATATACAGGAAAGAAATGAAGCACATAAGAATTACATACTCAGACGTACTAGAGAGAGAACAGAATTTGAGAACAAAAGACTAAGAGCAGATAAACTTGCAGACAGAAAAAGAGGAAGTACGAAAACCAATGGATACTAAACATACAGAGGGAGTTTCAGGAAATCGAAACACGTAGTGCATACCAATTTATCAAACATCTAAGACATGGATACAAACCGAAGACTAGCCTCTGCAAAAATAACAAGGGTGAAATCATTTTCACCCTTGTTATTTTAAGGAATATTTTAGGGTGACATATTTTAAGGAATTACTAAACAAAGGAACACAAATAACATTACAACAACAGAAGCAGCAGCAGGCACGGCAGGAGGTATCACAGGTTCTCACAGTATTTAATCCGCAGGTCAGTCCAAACGTTAACAGCTTTTGCGCACGTACTCAAATGATGGTTTCGAAAACGATCACAAGTATAGTTGGAACGACAAAGAGACGGTACGATGAACCGTCTATTTTCAGTTGGAACGCATTTTATCTATTGCGTAGAAGAGTTACCATATGTTGTACAGTTTCTGGACGAGTTGGAACATACCTAGTATCTATTTCCGATTTTGACAGAAAATTCCCGAAAAAGCCCTGTGTATTTATCGGGTTCCCGCTATTTTAATTATTTTGCGAATCTATCCGGTTCACACTGATAGGTTATGAATCCATTTTAAATTGACTGAAAAATAACTATGTACAAAATGTGAATTAATTTATGTACCATTAAAAATTTAATTTGATTAAGAAGTTAATTTTTTAATTAGATTTCATACCTTTCTTATCTAAACTCATAATTCATACATAATGATAACTTATATATGATATAAGTGAAACTACTAGAAAAATTGTAAAGTATGATATAAACATGACATCATGGATTCCCATAATTTTTTGTTTTGTCATCAATGACCTCATTGCAATGCCACTGTGTAATGTATTTTAATTACTCATATTTTACATTGTTATTACTAGAGTTATTGATACCATTCATATGTTTATAAATATAAAAGTTTAGTAATGAAGGCGAAATGTATTTTTACACACATTCAATTAGTACTGTATAAATTTATTGCCTTCAAATCAAACTAAGTAATAAGTTCGTATATGAACCCATATAGAGATGATGCACAGAGTGGTATGATACAAAAAAGCTGGTCAAAACCAAAATTTCTAAAACTATTATTTCGGACCAATTGTTGTCCCTAAACCAGGTTATATGTGACGTTATTTGACACTTTCCCTTCCTAAATAACCTAACCAAGCAAATTTGACAGCTCTCACTTCCTAATAGGTTTTTTTGTGTTTAATTATGAGATTTTAGTACATTTGTTTTATACGATTTACGATTTCTTTATTTTTATAATTCAAGTGATCTTTGTAATAGCGGCAGTTATGAATATGCCAGAGAAGAAAAGTACGTGCACGATTTCTTTCTATTATTTTATCCTCTTCCCTCCACTTTCACTATGTTATTTGCCCTAACTTCTTCCACCCTTTCATATAGCTCTGTCCTCTTTGTGTGTGAGCCTTTTCCAATCAAACACACAGTGTTCCGCCGTATTGTTAACCTCACAGTCAACGCAATTGCTGTGAAACTTTGAAAAATCGTCTTTCGGGTACTATGAATTCTAAAGACTTTTGCCAAACGTCATTTTTAAGAGGAAGGATAACAGTTTTTTTTTCTGTAAAGCAATAATTATACTATACCTTCGTGGAAAAAAGTTATGTGACGGAAAAATCACGTTTTTCCGTGTTTTTTTTTTAATATATTTTTGTAAAAAAAATTATTTTTGACATTAAAAAATGACTTTTTGATAGGAAATTCAATTTTGAACAACTTTCCTGTTAATGCATATGTATGAAAAGTGCATAGAATTCTACCAAAATGCTCTCTGGTGCATAGAGACTAATTCATCGTATATATTGCTAAAGCCACGATCGACAATAATTGTTTATGGCACGTGAACTAGCCAAACAAAAATCATAAATTTTTTCCTCCGAATAAAAAAAGGGAATTTGTGAACATGAAAAAAGTGGACTATAATAGTTTTTTTGTACCACCGTAAATTTTTTACTTTCACATGGTGAATGATTTAATAATAAATAGCACTACAATCTCATAAAGATTCACTTACAACTCCGTAGTATTTAGTTCAAATTAAATTGCAAAAAATATTTGGAGATTTGGTTAAAAAACACAACTGTTTGAAAACAAAGAGGTCCTACGACCTTTAGGAATCAAGATGGCCTTTTTTTAATCACTGTTGCGTTCATTAACAACATTAAGGGCTGAAATTAACCAATCTTTTATGAAAAAAAGTCAGTTTTTTAAAAAAAATTAGCAATTAAAATTATTGAAAATTGTTTAAACAGGAGTGTTAAAACCACATTCCCAACAGCTCAACGTCAGGAATGTTCATCAGGAATGGTCGTAAGCGAATGGATATTCAGTATGCTTTCTAATAGAGCAAAAAGCATAAATGTAGAAAACGTTTCTGTTAAGAGGTATACGAGGGGATGTCCACAGGGAGGGGTGCTATCACCATTCCTCTGGAACATAGGCCCTGGTTGACCAACTCAGCAACAACGGATTCTACACAATAGCCTATGCAGACGATACTGCTGTCATGCAAAGTGGTAAGTTTGATAACACACTATGTGAGAGATTGCAAGTTGCTCTCCGACTAATAGAAACATGGTACAAGGAACACTCACTACCTATAAATTCTAAGAAAACAGAGATGGTCCTCTTTACCAGGAAAAGAAGAATCACGGGCTTAATACCCCCAGGGATTCTAAACCACAGTCTAAATGTTTCTGACGAGTTGAAGTACCTATGTATTACCCTTGACAGGAAGTTAACATGGAACTCACACTTAGATGGTAAAGCTAAAAGAGCATATATTGCCTATGAGCAGTGTTGACGAACAGTCGACAGCACCTGGGGCCTTTCGTCCAGGGTGATCACCAGGGTCTACACTGCTATCATTAGGCCAATGCTAGAGGCAACAACAATTAACAAAGTAAATCATATTCAGCGGATGGCTTGTATAAATATAACAGGTGCTATGAAAACAACACCAACTGCTGCAATGGAGTTAATCATTGGCATCACGCCTCTAGACATATATGTCAAAGAGGTGGCGCTGGTGACTATGATGCAACTGCGTTCAGATGGTGCAAATCTTGATGTAGGAACAAGACAATTGAGAACTCGTTTCTGGCGGGAAGAGCTGGATGCGGTACCACTGCTACAGGCAGGCTGTGACTCAATTGAACCAAAGTTTGTCTTTAACAAAGCCTACAAAATCGAAACAAGACAGTATAGGGAGACAAACGTGGGAAATGCTTATTTCATATACCGACGGCTCCAAAATGGAAGACGGCTCAGGATGCGGGATATATTCCAGATCACTGAACCTAAGAATAAAGTGGGGTATGGGCAAAAATGTCAGCGTAGTTCAGACAGAACTGGTTGGTACCTCCATAGCGGCAAAAGAGATGACTCAAAAAGGTATAGCAGAGAAAACTACAATAATCTGCACAGATAGCAGACAAGCGCTACTAACCTTGAATAGACCACATGCCACATCAGGGTTAGTAATGGAGTTTTACGAGTCACTAACTCAAGCTTCGGATGGTAATACCGTCATCCTGAGATGGATTAAGGCAACCGCATTGCTGACCAATTGGCTAGGAAGGCGACAGGCCTAAGACACTAGGACCTGGGGATCTTTTTGGTTGGCCAACTACAACAACCGCGGAAATTCTCAATATCACTCCCATATGCAAACCGTAAAAGATGGGAAGAAGGGCAAGGATGTAGACTTGCCAGGGTAACACTAAGTAACCTTGAAGAGTCAGTATCAAAGAAGTTCTTGTGAATGATCAGGAAAAACCGACACTTGACAGTTGGCTTTTTAACTGGTCAATGTCAACTAAGTAAACACTTCCACACACTGGGGCTAACAGACATATCTCTATATGGGAAGTGTAAACGAGAAGACAAAACTGTAGAGCATGTCCTATGTGAATGCCCGGAGTTATCGTTAATACGAGAGTACGCGTTCGGCGAGTCCTGACCCACACCTGCCCACATAAGGGAGATGTCTCCTGGACTTGTCCACCTTCCTAGAAATGGCATGATGGACAATGGGTCAATTCTGGTCCAAGTGCCGAGGAACTTAACTCGCCCTCCTATTCTACAGATACACAATACAGAACAGGAGTGTTGTCTTTTCGTTCTGACTAGAGTAGGAAGTTCGGGCTAACAGCCACGCTATCCAAAAAATCCAACACCTTTGCAAAATAAGAGCGCTCGGAAAAAATTGATATATTTCGTGTTCTACTGGACTAAATTTGCTATTTCTTTTTTAAACTGGGGTACAATGTTAAAATAATATTAATATTTTTGTTGCAAATAATTAGCACATTATTTTCGCGCACTAACTGATCCAAATCGCAGTCCGCTTCCAGCATTGTTTTTGGGAGAACGGTTCAGTTTGCATAAAAAGTGCTAAACTCGGTTTCATCGTTCTTGTCGTGTGGCTGAAATAAGCTACTACGGAATTTTTAATATTCGTCTCTCTCTGATACACAGATGCGTTATATCATTGTGCGAGTCACGTTTGTCATGGTAAAGTGCGATGAGAAGGGAATGAAGAGACCACTCACGTCTCCCAGTATTGTAGCAATAACACCGATGCGTTTGGCCGATACGGTGTCGGTGATAGGTTTGGCCTCTTTACGAACACAGGATAGCTGCCACTGGAGGAGGTAAACGAATCGAGCTTAGACAAGGAAAGACAGATGAAACAACTTATTGCAAGTGTTTTTACACGCACACGCCAAGAAAGATGAAAACGTCTACAATAAACATTTTTATTCAATTTTTTTTTATTTGAAACATTACTACTGCTTAAAGATTCTTGGTAAATCAATTTTTTTCACGAGGGGGGATTTTGGAAGAGAAGCTCACAGGTAGGAGTGACAAACTTTATTGCATCTTCGCCATTACATTCTCAGTAAATTTCAGCTTGTTCCTATGATTTTTAAAACTAAAATCCCTGACGACTGGATTATAAAACAATAAAGGAATGTTTATTTGATATTACTCATCATTCTACCTATTTATGAGGTAAACTATTAAGACACGGAAATTTCACATAACCCAAATATCTCAATTATTCACCAGATCTGATTCTGTCTAATCATCATGTCCTTCTCTAGTAACTCTTTTTAATTCATTGGTTCGTTGTAATAAATGAATCCAATTAAAAAGAAAGTGTGCTGAATGATAATATTCTTTTAAATACACTATTTGTTTATAGCAGGGTAATAAAACTTGCAACTCAATTGAATTTAATTTTTTGTAACTGCACAATATTAAATTTCAAAATACAAAAATAAAAATACTTACAGTGCTCATTTCTTCGAACAACATGTTTGTAGCCTGGTTAAGGTCATAATCACATTCGTGAAGAGCCAAACAAACTTCTTCTTCAGATCTTTGCGACATTTCTATAAGCTGTTTTACTTTGTCTTTAATGCTGGGATCCTCATTTTTGGAATTGGAATCTCTGTTCTGCTGTTTATCACCGCCTTTTCCTAAAAAAGAGGAATTTTAATATTGTAGACTAAAACCTAAAATAAATTTTTTTTTAATAAATCTGCAGATTTAAATCTAAGAAATTACAACCCTCATTAAACGAGGTAAAATTACTTTAAGAAAACTGCAAATGTTATATTAAAGATAAGATCAGTAAAGGGTACCCCCCCGTTAAGACAGGCAAAATGCACTCTCAGAATTCAATTTTTTACATTGTCATATATAATAAATATATTTTTATCATACATGAAAAAAAAAATAAGGCTTAGCGCAATTTTATAGCCGCCACTTCCAAAAACGTCAATTTTTCGTTTTAATTTTTTTAGGTAGTATGCACGCAATTTAAAATCAAAAAATTCACGCGCATAGTAGAGGCTTTTACAAAAGTTGTCTATTTTTTATAGATCCGTAGGTTGGGTAAATAACCTAAATATGCAGGTGGCTGCAGGTCCATTTTTTTATTTTGTGTATTTGATCAAAAACTATATCTGATTTTTTTTTAGATCTTTCCGTATGATGTGCCATCTTAAAAAATCCGAAAAACTGGTTTTTAGGGGTTTTGGGGAATTTTCTTCATTTTCTAGACTTTAAAATGGACCAAATGAAGTTTTTTTACAGATTATATATATATATAATATATATAAATAATATATATATATAATATTTTGAAATTTTAAATTTTTTTTGTGAAAATATATTCTGGTCAATCAAGTCGTTTATTGTGAAAAAGAGTTTATTTTAACAATGTTTAATGAACAATTTTAAATATTTATGCACAGAAAATTACGAAAAAAAAAATGTTTTTTAATCTTAACTTAAATGTTAACTTAAAAGTCTTTTTAATTGAAACAAGCGCATGTTCAGTAACGGGTATTCTCCCCTCTAGCTTTTATTACTGTTTGCCTTGCTTGCCAGTAAATTTAGGACATACCCTTGGGAATAGCATTCCATTCATCCTGTGCAGCAAGCCGAAGCTGCTCTATCGTATTTGGAACGGGATTTCTTTGTCGAATGCGGCGTTTTAGCTGATCTCACACGTGCTCTATTGGATTTAAATCCGGACTAAATGATGGAACAATCCAATCTTTGAATTTGGATCTCATCAAGATAATTACTTACTATGGTTGCAGCATGTGGTCAAACATTATTGTGCATTAACATGAATACTTAGGCTTCGGCTAACGTGAGAGCTGGGCTGGACTCCTCGTCGATTATTGTATCTGATTCTTCCTCGCTGATGTCCTCTAGGACGTACGAGCATTCGTCGTCTGCGCTATAAGCTGGTGAATCTTCTACCGTATGGTTAACAGTGGTTTTAATAAATAAGTGTCACGAGTCATTTGTCCAACCACTTCCACAAGTGCTAAGTCCCTCCCAACTAATATGCCACCAACTCCAAAACTAACGCTCTCGGTAGATTGCAGGTGGCGAATCGTTCTCCAACTCTTCTGTAGACGTGGTTTCGACCATCTGGCTCCAATTGTCGATATTCCAATGAATATGTCTTCCTGCAAATTCTAAACGACGAGCTTTATGATTTTGGAAAAGCCGTGGAACTTTTGCAGAATGTCTAGGCTTCAAGTCTGCTTTTTTTAATCTTCGTCTTACTGTTTTTGAGATCACATTAACTTGTCTGACATTTAGTAGCTCATTTCTGAGGTGCATCGATGTCAATGAGCCATTTCTTGTAGAATTAAGAACCAAAAAATGGTCATCAACGGACGTCCTTGACCAGGCCTTAGTACAAAATTGCTTACATTGGTAAGTACGTATTGGTAAGTTGTCTCATGGTACCTTTTTAAAATACTCGAAACTGTAGATTGATTTGTCCTGAGACGCCGTGCGATATTTTTTTGTGTATATCTTTCCTCGTACAAAATTACAATCTGTGCTGGTTGGGCTTCATCGCAGTGTCGAATTGGTGGCATATTTGTTTTAAACTTAGATGAATCAAACCTATATTTAATTAAACTTAATAGATTCAACTAAAAATAACCGACATACTATTATTTTTCACCTTTTTTTCCTTTAGCTGAAGGTTTTTTATGATAAAATGCACGAATGACACTGAATAAACGTCAAAATATTTTAAACCAATTGAGTATATCAGCCTACTATATGATTAAAATCAGTAATCAAAAATTATTCTGAAATAATAATAGTGACTACAAAAAAAATTGAAAAATTCCAAAATATTCGATATTTTTGTCCATGAGTTTATTTTAAATTAAATAAGGTCTTTAGGACATTCAAAAATTGGGCGAAACTCCTTTAAACCCCCAGAAAGGCCATGTTTTTCACAGTTTTGTCGGGGCAAATAATATTTTTAAGATCAACACAACCTGAATCAATTTTCTCATATTTTTACTTTTTTATATACCCATAGGTTGAGTGGAAATAAACTAAAAATGCACTTTTTTGAAAAAAGGGCATACATTTTTTTTGTGGAGTGGACTACTGGTCCGATTTTTTTATTTCGTGTATTTGATCAAAAACTATTGATTTTTTTCAGATTTTTATGTGTGATGCGCCATTTTTAAAATCCGAAAAACTGTTTTTTGGGTGATTTTCTCCATTTTATATACTTCAGATTAGATCACATAGGTTTTTTAACCGATTATATTTTTTAAATTAAATGAGGTCTTTGAGGAATTCAAAAAATTGGAGAAACATGTCTTTAAATTCCCTAAAAACCGCGTTTTTCATGGCTTTTAAGGGTTTTGGCGGGTTAATCAAAATTTTTTGATATCGTTTTGGAGATGGGAATAATTTTTTTAGTTTTTACGTTTTATGTAATTAAAAAATAAGCCAGCGCCATTTTATACCGCCACCTCCCATCCCCACAAACGTCATTTTTTCGTTTTTATTTTTCGGTAGGTTGCAATCATTTTAAAAATTTCAAAAAATTCACACGCATTAATGAGGCTTTTACAAAACGTTCTATTTATTATAGACTAGTAGGTTGAATGTACATAACCTAAAAATGTATTTAAATGCATTAAAGAGCTCATAACTTTTTTTGGAGATGGCTGGAAGTCCAATTTTTTTGTGAATTTGATTAAAAGTGTATCTCTTATATTTGTCAGATTTTTTTGTAAGGCGCCATCTAAAAAAATCCGAAAAACTGTTTTTGGTTTTGGGGGATTTTCTTCATTGTTTTCTTATTTTTAAAGTTGGCGCACCCTACAGAAAATCTCACTAAAAATCAGAGATCTAGTTTTTGATTAAATACACAAAATAAAAAAAATAAGCTATTGACGAATCTATAAAAATAAAAAAAGTTGCGGTCTTGCGAAAATTAAAACTTTGAGAAAATCAATTCAGGTTGTGACGATCTCAAAAAATATGATTACCCCCGCCAAAACCCTGAAAACCTGTTGAAAGACATGGGGTTTAATAGTTTTATTAAAACAAACTCACTAATAATAACTAAATGACTAAAGAACAAATATCTCATTAATAAATGATCGTATAACGTTTTAACAGGGGAAAGGGGTAGAATGCGAAAACATGGAGTTGCTTCCAGTTTACTCCACTTAGCCTCTCCTACTCAAATCCGACTCTCACCTTCACGCTGGTGTCCCCTGTTAAACCGAGCCACCCAACTGGAGATCCGGTATCCAACCCGGGTGGAAAGTTGGGTCGGAAACTGACGAGAGCGAGTGGGTCCACCAGGTTGGGGTTGGGCGTAGGGTTAACACCCCGACACTGTAAAAACCATCATGTTACGAAAATTCAAGATAAAGTTTCCAGACTGAAATCTAGATAGGGGGGAATGGAGACTAATTCTTGAACAGGCCAAGACCCACCTAGGGTTGTAGAGCCAAAGATGATGATGACATTTTACAAAATAAACACTTTGCTATTCACATAAAAACGTTCTTTCAAAAGGATGCCGCAGTTGTTTTTATACACAAACAGATGTTCTAGACATCGCCAGCGAAGGCATGAACGGCGAGTCAGCGCTTTTAACACGAAGTTCCAGGAAAATATCGCGAGTAAAGCATTGACAGATGCCAGGTACAATTTTCGAAGTATTACAGGACCATAATTACAGTCACATAATAAGATGTTTTAAAATCTAAAAACGCATAGTATATATTGATGTTGAACTTCTGAGCTTTTCAAGAATGTGGCATAAAGTGATTATCTGACTAATAGTCAAACAGCCTGGTAAAAAATTTGCTTAATATTCTCCCAGACAGATTCCGGTGTAAGCCTTTAATCTCTCATACAAGAAATTTTACAATATTTTGTAGGCAGTACATATTCGGGAGGGTTATTCCTCAATTATCACATTCCAGTTGTTCTCTACTGTGTTTATTTGGGGTTTCTTAGTTTTTCTGTGACCATTTTCACTTCATATAGTGTGAAGGTTCCATAAATTCCTCGTTCTGTATTAGTTGTAAGTTAATTTTCCAGTAACTCCCAAAAGTGTTCTACCTATCTTCCCAGAATATCCACAGGTTTCACATCTAAACATTTTAGAAACTTGATTCTTAATTGTAGGTTCAGCTGAGAATTGCAGAGTATAGGTCAAGTTTCATAAATTCAAATATTGTATACAAGTTTTAATTTCTTCATGAGAATTGATAAGAAAAAAAATGGCTAATTAAAAGATGGTATGCTACAATAATACTGTAGATCAAATGTTTTACCCACTACTTTCTTATAAACAAAATAAAAATAACTGCAATATGTGAAACAGCTCAATAACTGTATTGTATGATAATGAATTTTAATTCCTATAAAGTCTTTAAACCCAATAAATTTGGTTTTATTTTTGCAGGTATGAAATTTATAGTAATTTTGAAAAAATTTATTTATGAATTAAAATTTTAATAAAACCTCTATAATTAGACAGAATTTATCAATTAGTAACTTGACAATACTAATGTATAAACCCTAAACATGCCTGATAAAAATTGGTAAACTTAAGAGGCAAACTTAAGAAGTGATAAGTGATGATAAACAAATGACAACAAAATATAAAGACTGA